TGTCATTTAATGCATACATTGTTTTTCTTTTTTAAAAAAAGTGAGACCCTGTCTCAAGAAAAAAAAGAAAGAAAGAAAAAGAAAGAAAGAGAGAGAGAGAAAGAAAAGGGTTATTTTGGCCCACAGTTGGAGGTGCTGGTTGGTGATCACTGCTTCTATTGCTTTGGGCAAGGCAGCACATCCCAGTGAAGCAAAACCACTTACCTTATGTCTAGGGAGCAGAGAGAGAGGAGGAGACTGGAGTCCCTAAGCCCTTTGGGAGCACACTCCTAATACGGAAAAGCCTCCCAGGAGGCCCCAGTGCTGCTTGACAGTACCTCCCTGGGCATCAAGCCTCCAAAACAAGGCCTCTGATTTGAGATCCAAACTCAGCTCTGATCATGCTAATGTCTTTCATCTTCCTTGCTTTTATCATTCAAGACCCACCTATTTTTCCCCTCCTAATTAAACTTTCCCTTGCTTGTGCTCTCTTGCCTTAGTTTTTTAAATAGTGTCCTTGTTTTTAGAATACTTACTAATTCCTCCCATCTAACAGAGATGCATCCTCTACTGTGCTACTGGAGTGATATTACTGCAAGAAAATTGGAAATGTCATGACGCTGCTTGAAACCTGCTAGAGACTCAAGTCTGGTCTCCATCACTGGCCTTGGCTCCTAAGTTCATACCCTCCCAGCTTCTGCACATTGTTCATTTCGCCATGCTGTTTCTTCTTTACGGGAAGTTTTAAACATTCTTTACCTACTGTAATCCTTGCTGTGGATGGTTCTTCCTCTGTTCTCAGCTGATTCCATGATCCTCACCTGCTCTCTAAACTGCCCTCCCCAACCAGATTTCTTTTTTCTGTAAAGATGCTTTTTACTCCCAGGGTGTAATTTAGTTCTGCCGCAGAGGTTTAAATGCCACATAGTTGCAGATGGTTTCAAATGTATACCTCTAGCTCAGACCTGCCTCCTGCTCTCCGGAGTATACCCAACTGCTTCATCAACTGGACTAACAGACGTCTCATATTCCTAAAGCTCACTTTTGATTTTCCCTCCCAGACTTACTCTGTCTTCCCATCTTCATAAATGGCAGCTACATTCTTCTAGTGACTCAAACAGCCATGAAGTCACCCCTGCCTTTCTCTCAGCCCCTGCCCTGTCCAAATTGTGAGTCCTATTGTTTCAGCATTCAAAACATATCCAGACCTGAATTCTTGATTTTTTTTTTTTATACCAGAGATTGAACTCAGGACCTTGCACTTGCGAAGCAGGCATCAGAACCACTGAGCGAAATCCCTGGCCCAGACCTGAATTCTTGCTGTCTCCTTTGATGTCTCCCAGCCTGAGCCGTCATCTCCTGCCGGGACCACGGCAGTGGCCTCCTGGCTTGCTCCCTACTCGTGGCATGTCACTGCTCCCCACCTCAGCCAGAATATTTTGAAACCTACGTTGGATCAAGTCATTTCTCTGCTCAAAACCTCCCAAAGATTACACTTCGCCTCAAGTAAAATCCAAAGTTCCAGGAACCTGGGCTCCACCATGTACCTGCACCATCTTCTACTCTCACATTGCTGCCACCTCTGACCCCTGCTGTGCCACTCTCACCCTTGCTCACTGTCGTCACCCATACTATTTTACTTCCTTGAGTCAAAGCAGCTCATTCTAAATAAGTTGCCTCAGTGTTACCATTGGGTCGGAGGGTGACAATACTTTCCCAGTTTGTGCGGAATGTTCCCCTTTCAGGCTTGGAGCTATCCTTGCGGCTTCTTGTGCCTGAACTACCTCCCCTCCACGCCTTCACAGCTCCTTTGCTTTTCACTCACATCTCTGTTCATAGGCAGCCGTATCAGAGAGGACCGTCCTAGCCATCCTCTCTAAGCTAGAACCCATGCTTACCCATCTTTCAGGGGCTGCTCTTATAACTTTGTTATTTTGTCTTGTTTTGCGTTTGTGATGGTGGGGATTGAATCTTGGACCTCACATGCTCCACAGCTAAGCCATACCCACAGGCCCTTGGCTGGTTTTAATGCTGTTATCACCTGACACCCATAGATACACCATAGATTTGGCCTGTCGGTTGCTGTAAACACAGCACCCAGATCAGCGTGTGCTTATTATGTGACAAACAAAAATTAAGTCCCTGCACTCAAGGAGTTTGCACTGAGTGTTGGTGAGAGGAGGGGTAAGCATGGAGTACATAATAACAAGTAACAAACCTGGAAGTTTCAAATAGTGTTAGGTGCTATGAAGAAAATAAAGCACGGTAATGGAAAAGAATGTCTGGTCATTGCTCAGGAGCGTGACACAGATGTGACTACGGGGTTGAGACTTGTGTAGTGAGAAGAAGGCAGCCAAAGGGTCACACAGAACGCAGCCTGAAGCAGGTACACGTGTGTGCTACTAGTGACATGGGTGTCGTAGAGAAAAGTGGCAGGCAGTAAAACAGAGCAGGCAGGATTATATTAGGATCATATCAGGCCTTCTGGGACATAGAAAGGAGTTTGGATTTCATTCGAGATGCAGGGAGAGGGTATTTTAATAAATGCGATGCACTTTGGCATTACATCTTTAAAGGATTACTCTTATCCTTGACTAGTCGGGAGGGGACCAGAGCAGAAGTAGGGAGCCGACTGGTGAGGGCATGGCAGTAGCTCAGGAGACCACGGTAGGCAGACCACACTGGATGGAGGCAGTGAGAGGGACTCGGACTCAGAAGGTGTGGTCTTCTCCATACCCATGGGGTATTGTTCCAGTACCCCCCCCACAAGAATACCAAAGCCAGGAGACACTCAAGTCCCTTACTAAAATGGCTTAGTGTTTACACACAATCTATGAACCTTCTGTCATGTATTTTAAGTCACGTCTAGTTTCTTATATCTGATATAGTGTACATGTTACTTACGTAGAATTATTGTTTAGGGAATTAAAAACAAGAAAAATATGGATTATGTTTAAGACAACACAGTTTTATTCAGGATATGGCAACCCATGGTTGATTGACTCTGCAGAAACCTGCAGAGACTGAAGGCCAAGGTGTTCTGGAGACAAAACAGGCAGGAACCCGCTGACAGACTGGGGCATAAAAGGGAAGCAGTTAAGAAAGACTGCTAAGGTTTGGCCTGACAGCAGAACAGATCAAAGTGCCATGTGCTGTGATGAGAGGAAGTTCAGGAGAAGCTGACTGGAAAAGCATCAAGAGTTCTCTAAGACATTTTACATGGTGTTCATAGTACTTATAAAAATGATCTCATAATTCCTTACATTCGTAACTTTCAAAATGTGGGGATGAATTAAAACATTTTGATTTAGTGAGGAATAATAATTCTCCAGAACAAAGTAATCTGAATATATCCTGGAGTAGCGATTTGATAGGGAAAAATATCAATACGACGGAAATATGAATGGAGGGAAAACTAGGGAAGTTGTAAGTCTAAATAGGTGAGAATTAAGCTGCAGGAATAAAGTTATAAGGCAAGAAACAAATTAGAAAAACTACAAAATTTATAGTTTTTTACAAAACTGTACAAAAGAGTAAGTACTGTAGTAATATCTAACGATCTAACAAATTAAGAAATCCCCCTGTCGTGGTTTGGTTCTGAAACGTCCTACCCAAGTCTCATGCGTAGAGTTGGGCTTGCGTGAGGTGGTTGATGCTACAGGTGACCTACTTGCTGTTAGGAGGTGGGACTCAGTTTAGAGGCAGGTGGGGGGGGCTGGGATGATGTGTCTCCCTCCCCAGCTCCTCCTTCCTCTTTGGCTTTCTGAGCACCATGACTTAAGTAACTCTCTTACCCCAGACCTTTCCAGCATACCCTTTCAGCCAGGAGCTGGAGGACTAGGAGCTGAAGCCTAAAAACCATGAGCTCAGATAAACCTCCTTTAAATTGTGGATGTTGGGTATCGTGTCCCAACAGTAAGTTACTAAGACAACTGCCCTAAGGAAATTAAACAGAAGATGTGAGTAGGAAATTCACAAAAAAGAAATACACACGTTTAGTAAGCATTACTTAAGATTTACACTGATTTTGTAAAACGGCAAACAACCACGACCAATAAAAGAAACTAATCTGAAGGATTACTTCAAACCTAGAAATGTATGCCCTAAAAGGTAAACAGGACTTAAACTGAATGGTGAGATAATCACTAATATTACTTTTCTTCTTTCAAATACTTTTCACATTTTTCAATAGCAACTACATGTCATTTTGTAATACAAATTTTAATGTATGCACAAAACAAGTGCCTAGAATTGCAGTGGGGATGAACCCAGGGGTTATATTTATAAAATAAAACAACGCAGATGTTACGTTTCGTTTTTCAGGTAGACTGTGCATTTCTCATAGACGGGCCCTCGCTCTCCGGGTCGCACACTTCTTCCTTTCCTGTGTTCTTTTCATCGCCGGGACCTGGCCACAAAAGCAGGGAAGCGGACCACGTCTTAGCCCTGGGCGGGCAGAGGAGGCTGCCCGGGCTCCAGCCCTTGGCTCCCGTTCCTCGGCGCCCG